AGAGAGACCTGGCAAGAGAGATTTTATAGCCAAAATCTAATGGGTTCTCTGGGTCTGCAAGCTGCCTTGTTGGCATGCAGTGACTGTGTCACACAGTAGTTGCTAAGGTTTCATCTTCCGCCTTCAGGCAGACAGGACAGAGGTCAGATGTGCATTTCAATTGCACAAGTTGGGTGGGGGTCCAGTGTTCAGCTTCAGACAAACAAGCGAAACTCACATTTGTTCAACCTCCTCCCCAACTAACAATAACTGTTGACTGTTAAGGTTTTACAGAGGTAATATTTCATGAACACACAACGTAAATTAATTTGAGATATTGAGCCATCATCTGTAGACAGATAAGAATTAAAAGGGATTAAGTTAACTGTAACAGGGGCTGGTGTCATGGCTCAGCAGTAGGATGGTTGCCCTGCATGTGGGAGGCACTGGATTCCGTCCTCAACATCACATAAGTCAATGAATAAAATAAAGGTATTGTGTTAGGTACAACTTTTAAAACAAAAATATTAACTGTAAATTTATAAACATTAATGTTAAAGCCCATTATTCTTAGTTTAAGACTGATAAGACTGACTTAATGGATGTTTAAGCCAAGGCTTAAAAATTTAGGTTAAAATAAAAGGGCCAAGAAAACCAATGTTTGGCTCTTGCCCTCTGAGTCAGCCTAAACCCAGGACAGGGGGAAGAGCTTTACAACTCTGGGCCACCTGACCTTTCAATAAGGGAGATTAATGAGACCCCTGGAGAACAGAAAGCCAATCAGTGTGCATACTACAGAAGGGGAGGGTCATTAAAAAGGGAGACATGCCTGATGCTTCCGAGGGAAGCCACATGGTCAGCAAGACCTTGACCCACCCTAACACAGATGACATGAGCAAAGCTAAAATGCTGCTCACAAGTTCTTCAAGAGTGTCCTTCAAAGAAACTCGGCTGACTATTACCAATAGACAGGTACAACGTCAGTTGAACCAGCTTGGTCTTCAACACCTAGCAAAACCACTTAAAAACCAAAGCACAGCCATTCCTGGGCATTTAAAAAGAAACAACAGTTATTTATTGGAACTTAAGATATACTCTAGTGTTAGAACCACCCCCCACAAAAAAAAAATAAGACTAAAGACAACAGAAGAGAGATTTTTAGTCAAAAATACCTGGTAACTATCAATAAACACTGCCAGAAATTTTTAGTCAGTTTAAGGCCTACAGATTTTCCTAACCTCCTTCACAGGTATATGTAATCAACGTTTAGTAATATGATTATCTGGCCCCAAGTAACAAAGAGATCTTTACTGAACACAGAGGTCATGCCAAAAGGTATTTTTACAAAAACCAGATGACATTAACTAATGTAACTAAATGTTGTGTCTACATTCCTGATAATTCTGACAATGTTAAAGATTTATGTTTCCTAAAAAAGGGCCTCATTAGTCTTTGATAGGCCTTGGTATGGGGACAATTTCTCAGGTCTTCTGCCTCCTGGTAAAGAATCATTAATTTCTGTCATTTTCATGATATTCATGGACAGGTTCCAGATGCTACAACTGCTATTTTGTATTAATCTTTTTTCACTACTCATGTCTTTTTGTCTCTCTCATGGAGGTGCCCACACCAGGTGAATGTACATCCTGGTCTTCCTGAACTAGATTTTTACCATGGACTTCTTTACCCACTCAGTTTCTAAAAGGGGGATTCCAAACTGCTTGCCCACTGTACATCAACCCCTCTCAGGTCAAAGCAAGAAGGGTCATCGCCTTTTTCCCCTACAGCAGTAGGAGTCCCTAACATTAGAGAAAAATTATGGTCAATATAGATGTTCACCAATATGTCTGGCTCAGGAAGATGTACATGGAAAACTACTCCCAAGATCACCATGAGTGATCTCCCAGAAAGAAACACTTGCTTCCACAACCCAACTTATAAGTGGGACAACTCCCTGTTCACCAAAAATTGTGCTTCCCAGGTCCCACTTCATACTTCTTGCCTAAATCTCCAAACTGTCAATAACTCTGAACTATGGAACCTACTATTTTGATGGAGTAAAAAGAAAGGAACATCTGGACTTATAAGAAGGCCAGGGCCCATTGATTTATTAACCCAAATAGGCTGCACCCATTGGAGTTCTCCTTCTGGCTGGTTTTATAATAGCTGGATGTACTGCTTTAGGAATGCAGCTCTGATCACTGGCTCCAAAAATGTTAAGTCCCTCAGCTGTCAGAATATAGATATAGATTTAGGAAAACTAAAAAGGTCATTATGAACTCGGGCTTAGACACCTCCTCTCGAGTTCACGATCCATCCCATACAGTGTGTCATCGTGGATTTAATCAAGACCTGTAACAAAGAACAGCTTCTACTGAGATGGAAGGACCTTACCGAGTGCCCCTAATCACCAGAATGGCTATCCCAAATGCTAAAAAAGAAAGAGCTATGTGTGTGTGTGTTGCTGGGGACTGAACCCAGGGTCTTGTGCATGCAAAGCAAGCACCCTACCAACTGAGCTAGATCCCCAGCCCAGGAAAGAATGCACCAGAGCCCCAGGAGTGCAGGGTCACAGCCCGTGGTGTGAGTTCAGAAGACACTGCTGGAGGGGCAGGCAATACCATAGGCTAAGTATGACTTTGAACCTGCTATAATGTTTGAGCTGGGCTCAGCATGTCCAGCTGTGGGTCCTGCTACTCAGGAGGCTGAGGTAAGAGGATCCCTGGAGCTCAGGGGTTCAAGACCAGTCTCTGCAACAAAGCAAGATTTTCTCCTGAGAAGCAGAAAACAATATCTGAGTATCTTCTGGCACAGGGTTGGTAACTTGTAAGATGGAGGCCCCCATGTCGGACATTCTTCCTCTGGTTAGAGGGGACATTTTGAGAGTCAGAAGGAATGGCAGCCTACTTGATTCTTTGGGACCAGTGACCATGGGAGGCCCCCACAGTACCCCCAGAAATGCAGCTGGAATCTTCACATACTAGGTGGAGGAAGGTGATGTCTTGGGCTGTCCTTAGGTTGACAAATGCTGAACCACTTTCACATTGACCTTGAGTTCAATCCAGCAGCCAGACTTCTTGAGCTAAGACTATGTCACAACAGGTTAAAATCTGCCATCCCACTGTTCTTTAATGATGGAAGGGACTGGGGTTGGCATTTTAGCTCCGGGTTCTATGTAGCACTTGCTGTGATTCCTGTGTGCCACTTAATTTAAAGGTCATTGGTGGGTGCGGTGGCAAACACCTGTAATCCCAGCAGCATGGGAGGCTGAAGCAGGAGGATCATGGATTCAAAGCCAGCCTCAGCATTTTAGCAAGGCATAAATCAAATCAGTGAGACTCTACCCTCTCAACATTACTATGGTAATTAATGGTGAATATATATGTAAAATGTGTGGGCACAGATAGTACCTGTTACTCTTTTTTAAATTATTGTGGCATGCTTTATAAATTTGAATCCTTATGCAGGGGTTAGGCTAAGATTGGCTACTGTTTCCATTTCTACCCTCACAGTGGGTTTATCATTCAGATGAAAACAAAATAATATAGACCAAAATTAAAATGAAGTTGAAAAAAATGCATGGAGAATACAGGTATGATTTTGATGACAGAATCTGCAGTGTTAATTAGACCATGCAAGGTATCTGCCTTGGGCAGGCACAATAACAAAACAGCCCATTTGAGATCCAGCATTTCTTTTTGGTACTAGGAATTTAACCCAGAGGCACTTAAATACTGAGCCACAACCCAGCCATTTCCA